CCCCAAAACCCCAAAACCCCAAAACCCCAAAACCCCTTTAGTCAGGCTATAAATTGAATTTTATTTTCCAAAATCTTGAATTTCAGACATCAGTGACATTATCGAAGAGCCAATGAAAATAACTCCTGTCATTATTGTGGTTCTTCCTAAGATAGTTACTGGGTAAAAGTCTCCAAATCCGATCGTTGATAAAGATACCGCTAAACATAACTACTCAACTTTACCAACAAACCATAATGAGTTGCTGAATGATGAGAAGTCTTGGTATTTGTCTGCACTATCTAATGCTTCTCCATTCTTGTTGAGATAATAAGGCACTATTTATTATGAATTTTAGAAATAAAAAATTTACCTTCATAAATTCTGACAAGATATGCAAGACTGATGATTGAGATGAGAGACATTATTCATAGTCAAGACAGAGGTTTCTCTTTCAAGTAGATTCTATACTTATCAACATTAGCATACTTAAAGAGATAGGGTAAAGTTATATCTACTCCATGCTTCCGATGAATTTCTCTTGCTCATAGAGTGTTGTATTGTGTCAAATGTCCAATTAATTCAAATCAAAAGTACAGCTTCACTGCTACAAACAAAAACAAGATCACACAAATGTCGTATTTAGTGTTGCCAACTGTTATTTGAGGTAAACTTCCTGGAGGAAATGATGCCAACAGAATTATGATATTCCAGATATGTTTCCACTCAATCATTTTTGGTTCAGCTGAATCTACTGATGCTTCAGAAAGATCCATTGGTATTTGTCTTTGCTCCTCAGCGTTCCAGTTGTAGATCTCGCGTTCTTGTAAAATCTGGAAGTACCTTCTTGTGATATAAACTGAAGTAATAGTTTACACTTACTGGAAGCTGCCAATATGTTGAATAATAGTCAGACAATCCTTAATCCAAGATTGGCTTCAGAATACTTGAACTGAGTGTTGTCTTCGGTTGGCAGAATCATTTCAATCTACAGGAACTCATCATGCTTACATCGACTATGGCAGTGATCACTGTTCAAACGGATATCGCTCACTGAAGAGCCAGAAGGATGCTATACATCAGAAATCAGACTTGGTCAGCATCCAAATAGTTTAGTGTAAAGATACATAAAATGGACTTGCATACCAATCTTTGTAATTTTGTTTCAAAGCATGGCTCCTACACATTATAATTCCACTTACTTGTCACACCAACTCGGGAGGCGCACATCATCAGGATTCTTCATCTTGTATTCGTGCTGGGCGATTGAGAAGCTATGAGGGTCAATAATACACAGACATATTGTGGTTACCTTCTGGAGTGCTTATTTAGGCTCACTCTGCCTGGACTGTGCTGATGGTGAGTCATCTTGACTGTGGTCTCCTTTGCACTCTTCCCATGCCTGGCTGACTTGCTGGTCGTCTATGTTGCTTGCTACTTTGTCAACAGTGTGACTTGGCTCGCTAAGATTCATTATTAATTATACACACAGATCTTTCTGGGGTTTTGGGGTTTTGGGGTTTTGGGGTTTTGGGGTTTTGGGG